GGCAATGAGGCCCTGGAACGCCAGCCCAAAGAGGAAAGCGCCCAGTGCGCACGAAGTGGTGGCGATGATGAGCACCCACATCGGGCCCACGTAGTCGAGCAACATGCCCCCGGGGAAGGTCACGAACCCAACGACGATGCCCGTGGTTGTGATTGTGGTCAAGTCGCTCGCATTAAGGTCGTACTCCTTCTGAAGGTAGTTGCTGAGAAGGTTGAAGCCGTAAAGCACGGAAATGCAGAGCGAGGCGGACAGGCCGCCGAGGAGGACCCGAAAACGGCCGAGCTCGTTGATGCGGTAGTCCATCGCCGTAACCCTTCGCCTGCGGTTATTGTCGACTCGTGACTCGCCGGAAGTAACACCACTGCTGCAAAGCTGCCCTAGAGACACAAGCAACATGTGTTGCGAGGAAGGAAGGAGACAGAAAGCGAACGTAGCCAGCAACAAGGAGCGACCAGGGAAACAGAAAAACAGATCGGGGCGGCACGCAACGGCACTTGACCCGCGTCAACGCACAGCCGCCCCCAACGGGACTCCCCCTTCGCCAAGACACCCCTGGGCTTGCCCCAGAACGCAACCGCCCACCCCCCGCCTGCAGCCAGGGGGACAAGCAGAGGACAAGAGCCAGTGGGAGCCGCCTACCGCATCTCTCACAGAGGAGGGTTGTGGCAAAAATTCTTCAGCTGCAGTGTCCCGTGACTTGCTTTATAGTCACCGAATTCGCGGCAGCCAGCGTTTCAGTGTTGCCGCAGCTAGTCGCCTCTGCCCGATGGCAGAGAAGCCCACTCGCAGCCACATGCTTGTGACTGTCGCCCAATAGCATCACAATCAAAGTAAGTATGAGGACCTGGCAGCAAACTCCTTGGCGACCGGAAGGAGAACAGAACTTGCGGAAGGCGAGGTGTGGTGCAAAATGTTCTGCGCCGAGCACATTCCTGGTTGCTCCACTGCCGCACCCGCCCCAGGCCTCTACGACAGCCAGTACCTTGCGAGCATGGCTACAAGTGGCGCGAGCACCACAACTATCAGTAGCCGGACGCTCATAAGTGCACCGTACCCAAGCGGAGGCAAGAGCGACGGTTTGTACTCATGTTCTATTGGGAAAAGTGAAAGAGCCATACTCTTCGGCTGCATGGCCACTTCTTTCCCACCGTCAGCAAACGCAGTGGGATCCGCCACTGGCGCTACTGCGCCGCGCGCTGCACGCGTAGCGGCCCCGTCTCCCCTCACTGGACAGCTCTTCCTGCCGTTGCAGTACGCCACAGGGGGAAAGGAGGGGGTCACTCCGTTCCTGCCCCCGCCAAGCGCTGGGCCCGCCGGCGTCCCCTGGAAAAGCGGCAGCACCGACACGACGACGTTCTGTGCTATATCCGTTGTTAAGACATCGTTTTTTTTTGATACTGCTACGCATGAAATGGGTTCGTGATGCAAGGCCGGAAATCGTGCGGCTTCTCGTTTCTTCCTAGACGGCCGAATCGACAGGGTGTGAAATTTACCTTCATCGGTGCGGAACAGCGAGATAATAGTGCCCTCCACTGTCGCGGCCAACCAGTAGGAAGGAATTATAGTGCCGACTCCTTCACCATTTAGAGCATCGCAGCCGTGGCGAGTTCCGCAATAGTGGCAAGCGCTGATTGAAGTAACGCCTTCGTTTATCAGAGGCGAAGGCTGAGGAGCGAAGCAGACTTGCAGTTTCAGCTGCCTGGAAGGTTTCTTCGCGGCGTGGGTGCCTGGCTCAGAATCCTTGGACCGCGCAGCTTCATTGGGAGCAGCGGCTGTGCTTGACACCCGAGCCGTTAAGATGCAGGAGTGGTTTCCCAACACATCGTAGACCACAACAAGAAAACTCGCTATGGGCATTGCTCCTCGTTCACCCATTTCGCAGTGCCGACGGCGTGCTTCCAACCAAGACGCCTCTGCCTTGGCTGGAGCCACGTCTTCCACCCCAAATATTTGTACTAATCGCATAGAAGATTTCATTAGCGAGAAGGGAATGCGACAGTCCCTGCCGGTGAAAGTACACGCATCTACAAGGCGTGTGATAGCGTGCCCGCTATTATCCTTTTTTTCCTCCGTGTCGGTCGCCGAGTTTCTCCGAGAAAGCTTCATTGTGGCAAGTCGAAGCGTCTTGTCCTGCACGAGGGCCACCATGAGTAGGTAGTCCGAGTGTAGCCGTATCCCTGACTTTCCTCCGCCTTTGCCTCTTTTAGGCACAAAGAACCGGTTGGCGTGGAGGTCGTTCAGACGCGAGGGCAGCGGCCATACAGCAAGAGGCGCAGCCTCTCGGATAACTCCCGGTGCTTCTACGACGTCATGTTGTTTTTCTTCGTCACCCTCCGAAGACGCGGGGCTTGCGCCCGGGGCTTCAGTTTTCGTCTCCACGTCCCCCCGCATTTCTTGTTCCTCCCCCGGAGTCCGCCCGCGTTGCAGGAGGGAGCCTAACCCGTAGACCCGCACCCCGCCCTCGTCGTGTGCAACAACGAGGGCCCCCTGCACCAGAGCGATGGGCTTCTTGTCGGGGTTTTTTGCGTCCGACGGGACCGCAATGCAGGCGCGCCGCCGCATCGCCAGCGTGTTTGTCTTGCGGCACCGGTACACCTCAACGAGCGTGAAGCATGTGATGTGGCTCACCGCAAGGTACCCCACCACCCCACGCGCAGCCTGCGCTGCGTCGGTGCAAGCCAGGAAGCTGGAAGCGCACCAGGGAATGTTTCCCTCCAAGTCAATGGCGGCGACAAACTCCCAGGGACGCGGAGGAGGCGGTGGCACCGCTTGCGACGGCTGTTGCGGTGGCCGCTCACTCGAAGGTGCATCGCTCCGCCGCTGCGTCGTGTCTACCGAAATAATCGCGAGGAGGTTCGCCATTCCAAACCGTCTCCCGCCGCCGCCGGCGCCAACAATGGCGTGGCGCTCGTCCACCCACCGCGCGAAGTACACTGGCGAGGGCAGCTGCAGGTACTGAGGGGATTTTCCCGGCGCAATGACCTCATCTGCCGAGAAGGAGGTTGCACTCTCTTTGCTCATGGGTGACGCCCTGCCGCACGAACACCTTTTACTTTCCTTCTTTGCAAGTACTCAGCCATCAACCGCAACCAACAAGAAGAGAAAAAAGAAGAGTTCTTTTTCTTTTGTTTTCGTCTCATTTTGCTGTAGTTTTGCGGCCTTGCCGCAAAAAAGATGCACACACGAGACGGTCACGCGGGCAGAGTGGAAAGGCCCGCTCCCTTTGCGTCCAGGGGGAGGCAGCCGGGGACACGCCACTCCGCCGCGCCGGGGCGACGACAGCGAGGCCCCAGCGGCACACAGCGAGACAAAAAAGTGCAAAAGCACAAAAAGAAGCGGCGCCGCAAGCAGAAGAAGATTGGCGTCGCAGTCCGCTGCTAGCGGCATGGAACCGAAGCCCGGAAAACAAAACAAAAAATGCACAGAGGTGCACACTGTAGGTACTCCTCCGCCGAGGCAGAGCCACACACGCAACGATGTCTCTCTCCCTCTCTCTCTCTGACACACAAAGGAAGGAAAACCAATACTGCACAGGAAACTAGACAAGGCGGTCCGCCGCCTAGTTCACTCTCCAGCGATAGTTGAAGCGGTCATTGTGGATCTGCTTCATGGTGGCAACGTGCTTGGGCACAACACTAAGCACCGGTAATGCATTCACCTTGCGCCGGATCGTCACATATTTGCGGTCCTTTACCTTGCCCGCAGCGGCCTCCCAGGGATCGCCCAGCGCCGCGTTCACAGCCGCCTGACCGTACGTGTTCACCAATCTTGCCTGGTCCTCGAGCACCTTCATCGTCTTGAACTGCATAAAGGCAATAAATGACTTCTGCAGCCTGCGATGCCAGCGGCGACGAAGCATCTCACCCTCACGCAATTTGCACTCCGTTGCGTTCGACTTCTGTTGGTAAGAACGAAACAGTTGAAAGTGACGAAGCCGCGAGCGGTGCACATAGTGCATGATGCGACGGTCAATCAGAGTAACGGGTTCGTTGCGTTTCACCTCCTCCACCATGGGGGTTCTTCCGTAGAAGTGACTGACGCCGCCGTGGGCGCCCTTCCATCTACTGTACTTCATCGTCCCCATGGACTTGCGGTGGTACATCATGTACCCGCCTCGGCAGAGAGAAGTGATGTGGAGCATGATGCGACGGTCAACCAGCACCTCCAAAGTCTGCCCACTCCGCCCTCGCGCCGCCACCGGCCACTACCAAAGCCACTTCCTAGCCACAAACACCTTATTCCTACACCTGCACAGACACGCGCCACCAGCAAAGCAAAAACCAAAGTCAAGATAAAAGAAGAAAAAAAAACACCAGCAGCCGCCACAGAGGACGTACGCGGGGAGGCTTCGAGCGGATACTCTGGCATATGAAGGCGCGATGTCAGAGACCTTAGCGGCATTGCATGGCGAGAGCATAGGAGTCCCGTGTGGGCCACGGCGTCGCTAAAAGCGTGTGAGTTCCATAACTGCGGCGACGTAGTACGGCGGCATTCCATCGGTTTCTCGACTTGCTTCCCCTTCAACTTCTTCTTCTACCGCCACCACAACATTGCTGTCGTGGGGCTGCGCCACGGCGATCACCAACGCGTAGTAACACATCGTGGGGCTCCAACGGTTGCTGCACATCCAGCGCACCCTGCTGGGTTTACTGTCGCCCCGCCTCGCGGCCTGCAGGAGCGACTGGGCAACGGCGCAAAGCGGGTCGTGGTCGTCCAACGCCGCCCACACCTCCGGCTGCGGGGGCCTGTCGCCACCGTCGTCCTCTGTTCGCTCCAGCTTTACCATCGGCGTCTGCGCGCTGCCTGAACGCCTCTGCGGCCGCCGCCGACACGCCGCGCTGGCGTGCAGCAACGCCACCACCTGGTCCGCCTCCCCCACCAGCACCCCAAAGCAGCAGTGCTGACCCGCCAACCTAATGAGCTCCTCCTGCACGAGCTGCGCCTGGTTGCAAGCCGGGAGCTCAAAGCACCGCGGGTCCAAGTCCCCCGGTGACGGGAAAAGAAGCGGCAAGTGCTCCTTGTGAATATGCGAGGAGCTATCGGTGGCTCCTCTCACCTCGAACGACTGCCGCTGGGACTCACGCAGCCGTGCATTCGCTACGCGGATGGAGCGCAAAAAAGGAGGAAGACCAATGAACTCGGCGACCCTCAATAAACACGCCAGGGTCTTCACGCGGGAATGCTTCTGAAGAACGTAGGAGCCACCGGCGACGCGAAGTGGGGCGATGGATGCGGCACCCCACGAGTCACTGCAGGGACTTACGTCATTCACCTCCGCCATCAAGCCCTTAAGCATGCATTGCTCCCCTTGGTGCCACGAGGCCACACCAGGCATCGGTACTATGGTGGCACCCTCAACCGCCGCGGGGCCAAAGAGAGCGGCTGACACCTCATGCCGCGTCTTGCAGAGGCGGAGCGTAGACATAATGCGCAGGTGACCCTCACGCAACTGCAGCAGACGCTGCAGCCGTCGCAAACGCCCCTCCAACGCCCAAAGGCTCGTTGGGGGCAGCCACGCCGTACCGCTCCCGCATACAGTGGTAGAACTGACAAGGAGAGAAACCTTCATGGGGACTGCAGCCTCAGCCAGTTCAATCAGCTTCTGTATAACGTCCCACCTTTGAGGGACGGCGTCGTCCTTGCTTCCGGCGGCCCGGAGAAGATGAGCAGCATCAAGGATGGCCTGAATCGCCGTTACCACGCGCTGCACCGTCAAGGCTGAAAACGGGTACCGCACCTGGGAGTTCGCAAAAAGCAGCGCCGAGTCCGCCTCAATGAGGGTTCCAATGCTTGCAAGCGCCTGCGCCAGCAGAGCTGGTCGGCAAAGTCCTTTCCAAAAGCTGACTTCCGGTGTCGATTGCTGCAGGCGTAAGCAACTGCCTTGCGGACGCGATCGCGGGCCTGCCCTGCACGCGGCCTGCAGTTTATCCTCTGCCGCCGCCTTGCCGTGCACACTCCCGCCAGCGTCGCAAGAGGCCTGGCGAAGCGCCGCAGCGATGGACGTTGAAGTGACAACCGGCAACTTCCGTCCCCTCCTCATCACCGGCGGCAACGGCGCCGCTGCTGAGAGCGACTTTGCCGCCGCCGATGACGGCCGCCTCCCTCGCGCCATGTTTATCACTTTCTTTTCGTTTGGCTGGCCAGCGTCTATAGCCCCACACCGAGGCCACCACCAGCGTCCGCGTCGGCGAAGGAGAAGTGACAAACGACAGAAACCAGAAAACGGGGGAGTGCAAGCCGTGCAACAGCTACCAGCAGGGCCAGCGGTGGGCCCCGGCGCAAGTGAAGAAGAAACTGTCCTCCTCTGGCAGCGCGAGAAGGCAGAGTGAGGTACAAAGATAGAAAAAAAAGAGAGAGAGAGAATGAGGAAACCCAAACACATGCGTTTAAATACCCTTGTAAAATGGGGGCCGACATGGGAAGCGAGGAGGGCAACCAACACCAAAGTGCCGAAGACGCACTCAGAACGATCCACGCAAAACGTCTACCGCTCGTGCTCTCCTTTTACATCGCACATGTGCACGGAGGGTGCACTTGCCCCCTCTTGATCCCTGCTTCTTGCGCGGAGGCTCTCCATTTCATGCCCGGCACTATCCTCCTTTCTACACCACCGTGTGGGCCCCACAAGAGACGCAGGCGCCACGGAGGGTTCGGCTTCGTCCCCCAGCCCCTCCCACGCTTTTTCCAGGCGGCAGTTGGCTTCCTTGAGACGATGCCACGCATTCACGGCAATCTCCTCGGCAAACCCCGTCCCGGCGAAGTAGTCACGGTACTCCCTTTGATGGGGCTCCGTCGGCGGCGGCGCAGAGGCGGCCCGGTGATGCCCTGACACAGGCGCCGCGGTCATCCCTTGCGGGCCCTCCGCCGCCGTTCCCGCTTTGAACTCCTGCGCGCTCTCACGTCCCCGGAGGTGGCGCACTCCGCCGCGGGACATCTTCTCTTCCTCTGCTAACCGACACCTCTCAAGCAGCTCCTGCCGCCGCTTTTCTCGTATGTGGTGGTCCTCCACCACCGCCGGCCTCGCGCTTCGACGCATTTCCCGCAACGTCCACGGTAAGAGCCGCACCGCCCGGCTCGTCCGGACGAGTTTGTCCGCGTCAAACAAGCGCCTTGCAGCGTGGCCCAGACACGTGATGACATCTCCCGCATCGTCGCAACGCAGCAGATCGCTTTGGTGCAGCTGTAACACGGCCAGAACAACTTCAAGCGGCATACAGGAGGGTTCACAGGCGTGGCTCCCACCGGCGAAGAGGCAATCCCACACACGCAGCACCGTCTCCACGGGGAAGACATTGATGAACAGCACCATGACCCACGCCGACATCAGCGTCCCAACCTCAAAGTGCACCGCCGAAAAGTGCCGTGCAAGACGCGGGAGACGCTCCCGGAGGAGCTTCTGCAGTACAAGTTGATCCACCTTGGTCCCTATCAGTGTCTCCGAGTACAAGTCATTGGGTAGCAGGTTCTCTAGCAAGTGACACATGAGCCAGAAGGTGCTTTCCTCATCATCCGTCACAAGCAGAAGGAGGGCGACAAGGTAGTTGAAGGACTGACAATAGTTCAGCAGTGGGTTGCGCCAGCAAAGGGCATGCAGAACGTTCCGTGCCTTTCGAAGCCCCACTCCATCCTCGGCAAAATATAGATGCTCGGGAAACGTACGATGCAGATCCTTCTCAATGGCCTCGGCGTACTCACCACGCACGTACCCGTGGCGCTTTAGTAGTGCTCGACAGAAACCCCGATTCTCATCCATCTTCGCCGCAACACCAGAGAGCGTCAGCCATATCACACTGCGCAGGTGCCGTGGAATACCGTGGTGCCACACCGCCTGCTGCATGAACTCCGTCACCTTGGTGGTCGCGTTGGTAAGCAATGGCAGGCCCCGGGAGGAGCTCTGCCAGTGCTTCTCGCACCGCTGCGCCGACAGCCGCAGCAAAGGCACCGCGGCCATCTCCGCGGCTCGCACCTCCACGTTGGGGCTCGGCGGGAACCCGAGTCGCTCCGCTGACGCCCAGTCCACGGTGCTGAATACTTCAGGCAGCAGCTCCCCGTCCGCAACGGAGTCCGCCACGGGGCCAGGCGCACGCACTCCGACTCCCTTTGCTGGCACCTCGTCAACGGCCACGCCTTCACCCTCGCCCCCGCCACTGCCGCGGTCACCTCGCGGCGATTCATCCAGCCGGCGGGGGGCAATAGCAGCGGTCCCACCTCGGCCATCCGCCATCCTTCCATCAGAGCAATCGCTCCACTCAAACCGCCTTGCACCCGAGATCCCGAGCGCAAGGGAAGGCCCACACGCACACGCAAGCAAGAAGCCCAGAAAGCAAACAAGCGATGAAAAGAAGGATGCGATGTTGGCTCACAACGGGCTGTGGGAAACGGGCCCCTCCTCTCCCTCCCTCCCTCACCCCCAAAAAAAAAGGCCAGGCGAAGCCGTCAGCGCGAGAGACAGACAGATTGAGAAGCGGTAGCGCAACTGTCCCAGTGAACTGCCCTTTACCTCTGACACGGAAGAAGGGGGGGGGGGGGGCAGACGCATACACACATGAGCAAACGATAGAGGGAGGGAGGGGCAAATCGTCACGAAAAGCGAAAGCAGCTGAAGTGCTCCAATAGGATGACGCCAGACACCGATGCCCTTATTTGGTACATTTTTCAAATATATTTTTTTTTCGGCTTTCGTTGTTCCGCCGTCTTCTTTTGCAACTCTGTCTACTACTCGAGCCACTGCGGCCACAGCGCCACATGCCACGCACCCGCTCAGTTCAGCACGTGCGAGTCCACGAGCGCACACCCGTGCATGTGGATGCAGTACTTCTGCAGCATCCAACGAGGGGTGACGGCTCCCTTCTGCGCGTGCAGTAGCGAGGCGCCGGCGTTCGATTCCTCGTGTGCACGTGCGGCCTCCTCCCCCAGCGCACACGGCGCTGGGAGCACGACAAACACAAAGCGCTCACACTGGGAGAAGAAGCAGCACTGCAGCTCGCATCCTGTTTTGTACTCCAATCCAGCACCCGGCGTCGCCGGCGTCGCCGCGGACGCCTTACCCACCGTCACCTGCGCAAAGCTCCGCAGCTCCGAACCCGCGTAGGGCACGATTGGCGCCGGGGCCACCACTTCACTTCCACCGGTGGAGGAGCATCGGAAAACGTGCAGCGTGCCGCGGTCACTCAGAGCAGCAAGCCGCAGCCCCGACATGACGGAAGACGGGTCAAACGAGAGCGAAAGCATGCGGGCAGCCCTCACGCCACGTCGAAAGTGGTACAACAACCGGGCAGAGGAGGGCTCAAAGACCTTTACGGTGGTGCCTCGCTCAGAGGCGGTGGCAAGTCTCGTGCCATCCCGCGTCATCGCCAGGCACACCACCGCGCGGTGATGCGCTTTCACAATAGAGGCACACTCGACAAAACCGCACCGTTCCCCGAAAAAGTTGTTTCCCCCGCCACTGGATTCACCCTTGTGGCTCATCTGCGACTCCGCGATTTGGGCCACCCACACATCTCCGTAGCCCTGGTCTGACTGCGGAAAAGCGAAATAGCTGACGGCCTCGCCATGGACGTTCGTCGTCAGCTCTGAGAGCACAAGGAGACCGCCTGGATTGGGCGGAGACGCCGTGCGCAACTCCGCAAGGTGCTCCAGCGTTGAAAGATCAAAGACTTGTATGCACTCCACCAGTGCAACGACCAAGCGTCTGGTGTTCATCCTAATTCCCACTACAGCGGTCTCAAAGTGCAGCTCCGCAATTGTCTGGCACTTGCAGGCGTCGTACAGGTGGAGAACACGCGAGGTAGATGCCACAGACGAGGTCGACTCGCCACGCACTGCAGCCCCCTCCACCTCTTCCTCGGAGACTAACTCAGGTGCCACGCCGCCCTCGAGAACAAAGGCAATCAGTGGGGTTTCGCCAAGGACGGCGACTGCACGGACGGGGCCTCCCACCGCGCGACAGCCACGAGGCGCCGGCGCCTCGCCAGGGCTTGGAATTAGTTTCCTCACCGCTCCCGTTGGCGGGATATCGTACGCCCGGACTCCATCGGCGCACCCGAGCAGGAGGAAACGCCCCCCAACGCTGGCGGCAATAGCTTGAACGGCACTCGACATCTTTTTCTTGTTACTGAACTGTTCACTACTACTTCACTTTTTTCCCTCATCAAGGTCACTTGGGCGGGGCCTGTTGTTTGCAGTTGCCTGCTGTTGTTGTCGTGTGTGCAGTGCGTAAAGGGGGAAGAGGAGTAGACACCCATGCGCATCCACGCACACACACACACGCACACCTCCATGCACGCGTTCATGGGCGATTAAAAAAAAAAAGCACAACTTCAATTATGACGAAAAGTAAATAACACGCATCAACACATCTTTTTTTAGTTTTTTTTTTAGTATACTTATCTCTTTCCACTTCCGTCCCTTGTTCACCTCCGCATGTATGTATGTACGTGCGTACGTGAGTGTGCGTGCGTGTGTCGTTGCGTAGTAGCTGGGGAGTAAAAAAGGCGAGTGCACGGTGACGCACAAGGCGACGAAAATGAGAGGAAACAAGACGGCGGGCTCGTTGGTACACCGCCGCATCGCAAAGAGATTTAGTCATGCGCATGACGGTGAACTCGCGTGGGGAGCAGCCCGCTACAACTGTGGAGGATCCTCAAAGAGCAGGTTTGCCGCACGGTCCAGGCTTCGCTTGGCCTTGAAGAAGGCCACTTTGCACTGGTCCCTGGTGAAGCCCAGCTGCATCAACTGCTCGATCTTCGCCTCCTCCTCCTCCGTCAGTGGCCGCTCCAGGTAGTTCTGCGTCTCAGAAGTCCCGTTTTCCGCCTCCTCCGAGAAGTCGCCGCCCGCCATGAACTGCGCTAAAAGGGAGTTAACAGCCTCCTCCGTCTCCTCGTCAAGTTCCTCCTCCTCGTCAAAGAGCGCCGCATGCGTCTCCTCCTGTTCCCGCTGCAGGGTCGCCACAAGCTCCTCGTTGTTCACAAGGTCGAGGAACTCCTGGTAGTTGCCCGTAATGAGCTCCAAGAGTCGCGGGTCGCTCTCTTGGATTTGACGCATAATTTCAGCTGGATTGGTCAGGAACTGTCGCCGCATTTCCACTAAATTTGGAACCGTTCCAAGGAGGTGGCTCAGCAACTCCGCCGGGCCGTTTTCCTCTTCCTCATCTTCCTCCTCCTCCTCTTCCTCCGCCGCCGCCGCCGCCGCGCCATCGCCATGAACAGCCGGCGTCCCAACCGCCTCTCCACTTCCCTCCACGGCAGTCGGCTCGGCAGACGCGGGCGTCGCGGAGGTCGTCGTCGCAGGCGTGGGGGCGGCGACCGCCTGCCGTGGCCCGGACGGCTGCTGGCAGCCAAGCGGCACCTCCACCGCCCGCTTCGGCGCCAGCGCGTTGTCCGTCGCCGCCCCCGCCCCCTCCCGCTCGCGCTCGCGCTTGCCGTCCACGACGATGACGTCGCCGTCGCGGATGCCGCTGTCACGTAGCAGCACCTTCTCACAGCTAAGCTCCACGGCGTCGTGAACCATGCGAAAACCGTGAACTGGTAGGCGGAAGTTGATGGCAATGGCAGCGCGCAGGTTGCTCAGCGTCGCCGCGGGATTGTGTATCACAAGCTCTTTCGTGGTGTTGGTCTCTGCACCCATCGAGCACTTCACAGTGAGTTTCATTCTGCCTTTCCGCACCTCAGTGCAACCCCTTGCTTCCTACTGGAAACGCACAGAAAACAAGAAAAAAGAAACGGTGGGGGAAAATAACAAGAAATCGCACGACGACACACACACACACATATATATATATATATGCATGCACTTAGACTGACTGTCAGCAGCAAACCCCCAGTAAAACAGGGAACTCAGCCGCCTGCATTATAACGGCACTGGGAAGAGGAGGCTTTGCATATCAAGAAGCATCCACGCAATAGCACACACGCACACTGTTAGCGGTGGCGTACGAAGTCGGCCTCCGTGGTCCCAAAGGGGCAGTGACCACTCCCGGGAGGCGCCCACACGGCCTTCGACAAGCCAGTGCCCGTCCATAGCGCCACATGCGGGTCTATCCGCAGCAACTCTTCCATCGCCCATGTGGGGTCAGTGAGTGGCGGACATGCACGCACGAACCGCACCGCCATGGGAGCCGCATCATTCGAATCATCCTCACTATCGCTTTCGTTGCTATTGGCTTCCTCTGCTTGCGGTCCTCTCTTCGCCGGGGCGAGATGACCGCCTTCTCCCTGTCCCTGCTGCTCCTGCCTGTGCAAATCCCGCAACTGCTCCAGCAGCGCCGTCCGGGCACGATGCGTGGGAGGGGCGGCCTCCGACACCGCAGGGCGGTCGCGCGGCAGTGGCTCCATCACAGCCCACCTAACAGAGATGCCCCACGTACACAATCAGAGAGAAAGAGGGGGAGCGGTGCATGTGGCGGCGGGGGAAAGGACGCAAACACGGAGACAAACCCAAACCAAACCAAGTAGTGGCAAGCACGGCAAACAAAAGCTCGAACAAAAAAAAAGGGGGATAAATGCGGGAAGAAGTGAAACAACAGCGGCGGACTGCGCCGTGCTGCTTCCCGCTGTCGGTAGAAATATTCGCGCGCACAGGCGCCGAAAAAAAAAAAAAAAAAAAAAAAAAAAAGGGGTCAATGGCAGACCGAGGAGAGAACTGCTAAAGAGTGCAGAATCAAAATTGATTTGACGTTTTTTTTTTGTGTGTGTGGTCACCGCAACGCAGTGGCGCCCACGCCGGCGGGCTAAAAGCTCCTCCGCAATCGCGGGGGTTCAGTGGCGGCGCTTCTCCGGTGCCGCAACTCCGGGCGTCCTTTGCCGCCCCCGTCCTACCCCCGCCGCGCGCCCCGTGGGACGGCCCCAGGCCGACTGGAAAACGGCGCTATCGGCAGTCCCGCAGGTAAACAAGCGGCCCCGCGTGGACAACATCAGCCATTTCACCAAACAAAGAAGGGACTATGCATGCATGCACGCACGCACGCGCATACACACATACATATAGTAAATAGACGTGCATGTATATATATATATATACATTTATGTGTGTGTGTGTGTGTGTGTGTGTGTGCCCCCCACGGAAGGAAAGAGAGAGAGATAAAGCAGGGGGAAAACGCGCCCCAGCCCAACTTCTTACTTCCCCCCCACCCCACCCCACCCCCGACCATCCTGAGGCGCGGGAGGGAGCTCACGCTGCCAGCACGGCGGACGGGCGGGAAAAAAAGAAGAGGCAGAAAAAGAGGAAGGGCAAGACCAATAACATGCAAAAAGGCTCAAGCTAAGCAACGACAAGAAGAACAACAGCAGAAAGAGAAGAAGTTCGACACAAACTGTACAGCCCCGACATTTTTCTGCTGAGCTGCACAACTGCAAATCGCAGCGGCGCTGCACACCACTCGGGAACACCCCCATCCTGCACCGCAGCCGAGACACGGCGATGCACACACACAAAAAAAAAACAAGGGGAAAACGACAACAACAGCAGCAGCTGAGTCACAGAGGAACAGTTGCACCACCAAATCGTAGCAGTCAGAAACAAAAAAAAACTCATCGAATATATTCCTCCTTCATGTTCATATTAGTACCT